GTCTACATTTACCAATAGCTATCTTTCCACTCTAATATAGCAGGTTTTTCCTCCTAAAGTTCAATCTGTTGCAGAGCTGGTTGGTTTCATAAGAGCTAGGATCCAAAAGTACTTGAAAGCCCTCTGCTCCTCAAGGGGTTTCCTCAGTGAATGGATCCAAAGTGCCTTTCCCTACGCTCTGTTATACTGAAACTGTCTTTATTCCTAACCAGGGTGATCTCCTGCCTGCCGTAACATTCCTTTTCACCTCCACGCTGTTTCAGTAGTTTGCAATTGTGTCTCATGGTTTTCCATTGACTGTTCTGGGAAGTGGCAAGGGTAGACAATAGAACCTTGCATTACGTTGCTAGCTACTAGGGAGGGTTGACAACTTCCTCTTGCTTGAATGGGTCATCACAGAGACGTATTACCTCCTGGGGACCAAGTCCTTAAAGCAGTGATACTCAGACTGAGGTTTGTGAGCCAGAAGTGGCTCTTTAATGTGTCCCCTATGGCTCTTTGCAGCACATATTAAAATAGTGTGATTTAATTATTAATCAGGATGCTTTTACTATGTTATTAACCAATTGTAATTGATAAAATAATACTTGGTTAGTCATTTTGCTGTGAGAATAATATATATATATATATATATATATATATAAAAAGTAAAGGAAACAATGAATTCACACTACTATGTCTCTTTTAGATAATGTTGATCACTAATTTGGCTCCTGAACCACAGAGGTCTGAGTATCGCTGCCTTAAAGCATATTTTCAATATAAACATGTAATTCCTTAAAAATTACCCATACATATATTTCACAATGACTCTGAATCTTGATAAGTTATGAGCTTTCTGTAGATATGTTACTCTTTATGTATAAATAGCCTGTAAGACACATGTTTGGTGTAGTGAGTGTCAGGGCGGAGGTGAAAGTTGTTTGCAAAGAACAGGGGACCCTTTGGCAATGGATCTCTGTGACCCACTGCTCACTTATGTAGACTTCGCTCTTATACATTCTTGTTTCATTGTTTACTTTTAGCCTGAATACTTTTAGCATCATAAATAGCTACTCTTTCGGTATGGTGAAAACCATAATGTTGCATATCATTCTATGTATATCTGAGAAATTTTGAGATGGGCTGATTGGCTCTCTTCGTAACTCTTTTTTAATATTCAAGTGAACAAGGATAAATATGGACTTTACTATGCATGGGTTTATGCAAGCATACATTTTGTACGTTATGACCAATAGTATATTTTTTTCAAAGATCTTTGTTTCTTATGGAATGGAGAGCCTTAACATGAATGCATCATGTACTGGAAGCAGCAAGGTGAAACGGACTGGAATTGTGGATTTTGAAGCACTATCTGGTCTGAGCACCAACAGCAAAATTCTAAGAAGTTTCGCTTTGCTGCTCTCCTGCCTGCACAAAGAAACAAATGAAAAGAAAAATAACAGGTGGAGACTGCACAAGAACAGGAGGAAGAGCTGGGAGAAAGGGAAACTGTACAGAATGGAAGGGGAGAGTAGAGAATATAAGGGGAGAAAAGTCCTATGTCGGGAGGTTGGAGAACACAGTTGAATGTGGTTGTGGGTGCCAGTTGCCTAAAGCCACTACTTTATTGAGCCTTTTTGATGGTGTCATTGCTGTGCTCCCGATTCCTAATGGTACACAACTGGGACATCATCGCTGAAATGGACGTGAAGCCGTATGGCCATTACGTCAAATGGCTGGGGAGGGGAGTGGGGAGAGGATTTGCTGTTTGTTCCTATTTTAAAGGGAGTCTGGGGGAAAGATGTGAAGAGAAGCAGGGAAACTGACAGGGAAGGGCCAAAAGAGAAAATGACAATTTTAAGCTCTCTGTCTCTTTCAGTGGCAGTCTGTGGGCCTTCAGCACTCTAAACTGAGTGCCTAGGGTAAGGATTAAACTGGGAACTGTTGATTTCTTTTTATAATAAAAAATGATATTGACATGGCTTTGGGGGCACAAAATGCTGCTAAAATGGCAGCCTGGTTTCCGGGGCACAGAAAGAGAGAAAAGGGATCTTAACAATTCAGGAAATCTTATATGAGTGAGTGAGACTTTCACTTTTTCCCTACTCTTCTGATCCTTTTCCTAGGAAATATTTTTCATGGTGGAAGGATACATTGCATGAACACTCCCAAAATTGTTTTTATACAATAGTTTCATCTTAAATTTAAAAGCTAATATGCCATCCTCTGAAAGCACTAAGCTATGCCACAATGTACAGCACCAGGCTATTTGTGCACTTCTTGGGGGAGTGAACTTGCCCAAGGCATGTACCGATAACCTACTAACACTACTAAAGTGGCTTGGTGTAGAGCAGGGGTGGGCAAACTTTTTGGGCCGAGAACCACATCAGGGTGCAAAAGTGTATGGAGGCCCAGGTAGGGAAGGCGGTGCCTCCGCAAACAGCCTGGCTCCTGCCCCCTAACTGCCTCCCTCCCAACCCATCCAATCCCCCCTGCTCCTTGTCCCCTGACCACTGCCACCTGGGACCCCACGCTCCAAACTGCCCCCCCGGGACCCCACCCCCATCTGCCCACCCCCCCCCCCGCTCCCTGACTGCCCCAACCCCCTATCCACACCCCCGCCCCCGACAGGCCTCCCACACCTATTCAACCACTCCCTGTCCCCAACCACCCCCTACCTCTTATCCAACTCCCCCACCCCCTTACCATGCAGCTCAGCGCAGCAGGAGCTTGCAGCCCTGCCGCCAGGCCGGAGCCGCCCGTGTGGGCGGGGGAGGCAGGGGAGGGGCCGGGGGCTAGCCTCCCTGGCTGGGAGCTCAAGGGCCGGGCAGGACGGTCCCGCGGGCCATATCAGTTTGCCCACCTCTAAGCTAAAGACAAACAACACAGAAAGGAAATAGAAAGAGAGGCTGCTGTGTGACAGTGCAGAGTGTTTGGTGCTCACATGGGAGAAGAGACTGTGATTCTGTTTCCCTACAGCAGTGGTTCTCAACCAAGGGTATGTGTATTCCTGGAGGTGTGCAGAAGTATTCCAGGGGGTACATCCACTCATCTAGATATTTGCCTAGTTTTACAACAAGCTACATAAAAAGCACTAGCGAAGTCAGTACAAACTAAAATTTCATACGACTTATTTATACTGTTCTATATACTATGCACTGAAATGTAAGTACAATATTTATATTCCAATTGATTTTATTTTATAATTATACGGTATAAATGAGAAAGCAATTTTTCAGTAATAGTGTGCAGTGATACTTTTGTATTTTTATATCTGATTTTGTAAGCAAGTGGTTTTTAAGTGAGGTGAAACTTGGGGGTACGCAAGACAAATCAGACTCCTGAAAGGGGTACAGTAGTCTGGAAAGGTTGAGAGCCACCGCCCTACAGTATAGGAACAAGGAGGTTCCATGACAGCTACTGGCAGTTGTGTGTGTAGTTTATGGGAGGACCAAATGCGCCGTAGGTGATGGGGATTTTTAAATCTTTGTTATTAATTATACTTTGTTGTTACAAATAATTCCATCTAATGTACTTTCACGAATTTTATATATAAATGCTTGTACATCTTTAAAAGTCTGCTGTGCTTGGTGCTGCTACACTGAATGTGTAAAAAGAGTCCTTGCCATGAAAAGCCTTTATTCTAAGGGCCCAATCCTGTAACCATGTACATATGTGAGTAACTCTATTCATTTGAGGAATGCCATTGAAGTCGGTGGGACTACTCGGATGAGTAAGTTACTGTTCATGTGGTTGCAGGATCAGGCTCTAGCGGAGCTTATGATCTACTCATGTACCATACTTGACAGCGTATCTTAGGTATTTTTTCAGCATTACCTTTTCCCACCATTTGATACCGCATGTGGAGAAAGTAGTATCAGTTGAAAGAATAGGTTCTATATTTGGTAATGAAGGCAAGAACATGTCTGAAAGAAAAAGACTTTTCAAGCAGCATGCTGCTGGCTCAAAGATTCCTCAACAAATTCTGTCATGTTCTGTCTCTGAGGCGTGTTGCCCTCTTGCCAGCCTAAGCCATGATGGATCAATTCGGGAACGGCTTGAGACTCGGCACGATATGCTTCAATGTCCTCTTTCTTCTCTTGAAGAAAGATGCAGGAAAATGTCAGAGAGAATTAACAACTTAGATGGGCGGGTGGCTAGAATTGAAAACCATCAGGAGATGATTGAGAGCAAAGCGCTATCCCACAAGGAAACAATTACTAATATTGTAAAGGTGGGGTTTAAACAAGTTTTTTTAAAGTACTGTGCAACACCCACCCCGCCAAAAAAAAGAACCTCAAAATAATCTGCAGCTACTTCCAAGGCACCACCATTAATTATCAAAATAGCCCCAAAAGGCTACTATTTAATACTCCATGTTATAGAGTATCACAGCATCTAGCCACTAAAGTGATAAGCACTCTATAAATACAGTAGATAATGACATTAGGCTACAAAAGAAAAAAAATTGGGATGGTGGAGGGGTTTATGGTGGATTTTGCAAACTTCATCAGCCCTCAACAACTGATGTTCAGTCCCCAGTAGAATCTCAAAACCACTCTGACTATTGGTGGGCATGGGCTTCTCAATCAACTTTTCCTTTTAGCTCTTTTTCTGAGTAACCCAGAATGCAAATACATGAAATTGCTCTTAAATCTGTTTAGGTTCTGTCAATGCTAACATAGGGAATCCCATCATTGACCTGGCCCTCTTCATTTTTTCTTTGCAGAGAATGCAAAATGCATTTTATATTGCCCTCACGGTTACATTACATTTCAAATGGTGAAAGTGTGTTAATGTAAAAAATCTCCAACAAGAAGGGAAAATGTTTCCCTAAAACTGTAAAGGGACAGAGGTAGGTTGAAATAGGCATGTGTGTTCTGAATGAATTTGCAGGGAGTTAATTCTGAGTTAATTCCATGCCTTACCATTTTTTATTTCTTTATCTGGTGTAGGCCCTCTAACCAGGGATGTAGCAGAAACATTCACTGACAGGTGAAACAGAGTATTAAGTTTATTTTGAAATGTATTTTATTAAACATAAATAACCAAATAACAATGGAAGTACAACTCCTCTATTAACGTGTGTTAACTATGGTGTTTCTCAGTGGATCAGGAAGGATGATCTAGTGAGTTCTGGACTGGGACTTGAGAGACTTGGGTTGTCACAAAACTTCCTGTGTGACCTGGGACAAGCCCCTTCATCCTCCCCTGTGCTTCAGTTTCCCATCTGTGAAATGGGGATAATACCCTCCCTACCTCACATGAGTGTTTGGAGGATAAAATCCATTATGGGTGTCAGGTGCTCAGATACTATGGTAGTTTGAAATCTTAGGTCATTGCTTTGATAATAAACACTGCTGGAGATCTGAAGTGTTGGTCTTGTTCAATAGTAATATGTCATGAGAGATGAGAATACTTCATCTTGCAAGCTGTAATTGTAATTGTCTTCAAGCAGGGTTAGTTGCAACAGTGAAGATGGCTGTGTTTTCAGCAGTTGGAAGCGCTCAGATTTGTACCTCCATACAATACATCTGAAATTTTATATAAAATTACAACAGGAGACGTGAGATGCTCTACAAGTTTAATCACCTTTCCCTAGGAAACGCTGGCCTAGACTCAGTTTCGGATGTCTATTGAAATGTTTTCTGTGTTTCTTGGCTGAGTATTTATACTGATGACCAAACTGAATTTGGACAAATGATGGTTGGTTCAATGAGAAAATGGAAGAAATGAATAGGGCTCAGCTCATTATCATCCTGGCTTCCAATTTTTTGATGCGTGCTAAACAAAGTGCTACAATCAGCTCCATTGGCCTGCCTGTGAGAAATATTCTATTAACATTTTTAATTCTTATTGATTTCTATTTGTCCAGAGCAATATCTGGCTGAGTTGATTTTTCAGAAGTCAGCTAGTACCATAAATTCTTCTTAATGGTAAGTTACTTTTCCTCAAAAGCAACAAAAAAGGCAGCTGACAAGGTTTTGTGGCACACTTAGAAACCCAAGAAATGGTTTTATATCTGACTTTTTGAAAGCCACTTCTGAGCGGTGCTTTTTCATTTCTTGCAAATAAGTGAATGAAGTGATCTAGCATTGCCTGCTTCACTATTGACAACATTACTGGAGACTAGAGAATCAATTCAGGAGAGCACTTAAGCATGTGTTTAACTTTTAAGTCCATGCTGAGGTACCACTGACCTGGGGCCTTAGTTCCTTGGAAGAAAGAAGCACTTCAGAAAATGCATTGTTTCCTCCTGCATAAAATTAACTTGCAGATTTAATTGACTAATTTTATTATGTGTGTTTGTCTTTCCAGTAATAATACTAGAGTGATTATCATTTATCTGAGAATATAATAGCTCCAGTGACTAACCTTAGTGTCACTAAAAAAATGTAATACTGCTAAATATCTACGGTTTTATGGTAGTATTTAACATAAAATGGGTTAAAATGAAAGTTCATTTGTTAAATTATATATCTACTATTCAACAAGAGCATTGACTATAATTTCTTATACCCTTAACTGTTGAATGACAGAGTAGAAATAGAGGCCTATTCTTCTAACTTATTTTAGACTGGTTTTAAAAACCAGGGAAAGACAGCTGCAATACGTGGAAAAGGATGGATATTTATTTTTCCATAAAATTACAAAATGTAGCTGGTTTAGAAGATTGTAACTTAATGTCATTGCTTAGAGGCATGGAGATTCCTGTTCATGCCAGATCATTATTCTTCTTCTCTCCGCAACAAAAGATTAAAGAAAAACAATCAAAATTCATAAAAGCATCTCAGACTAACATCATACATGTATCACAGCAAGAGGGGCAATAACGCCACACAATACCTAACTTCTGTTGCACTGTCAAAAATGGACACTTCTCTTTTTCTTATAATTAATCTTTTCAGAAGTAGGGAGAAATAATGGGATTTGGCTGCCAATTTCTTTCATTATTTCTTTCTTTTGTGTAGGGTATGAAGGACTGTGAATCAGAGGAATGGTAGATATGGGGCCGGCATCCAAGGGAATGTATGTATGTGCATTTATTTCCTGAGCAGCTAGAAGCAAGATTGCTGATCTTGAGAGCCAACTTTCCTTGCTACACAACGTTAAGAAGAATAAAAAGTTCATGGATGATATTTTTAGAGAGGTGAGCATGCCAAGCACAGGAGGGTCTGAAGTGTACAGTGTAGAAGATAGTTGTAGATGAAAGATAAGTTACTGTGGATAGCAAAGGGGAAAAAAAGGCAGAGCCATCCAGAAGAGACTGTGAATACTGAAGTGCAATAGTTAAGACAGTTCCTCCGTGTAAGCACTTGAAGGCAAAGCAAGCCTGCAGAAATTAACTAAACAAAATCAGTCACCCCATCAAACATGCCCTGACTCAAGAAGAGGAAAGAAATGGATATAACAAAAAGCAAGCATTAAAGTACATTAAAGTACATAATCTAAGTTTTCAGCGTGCAGTCTTGATCGTGCATTTCTCACAGTTTCCCTTCTGGAATCCCAGGTAGAACAGAGAACATCATAGAGGGACACACTTCTAATTGGAGTTGAAAAGCACCTGTTAGTTCTGACCTGTGTTGGAACCTGATGACAAAGAAGCAGGCTAGTGTCTTTTATTTAGGTTAACACAAGCTGTAATAAAAGAGCAGCCATCCTGGGAACCCTTGAAAACTTTCAGAAAATGCACTAAAATAAACAGACCTGTCAGTTCCCAGACAGCAACTCAAATACACAGTGATAATGTGCTATAACTGAAATTACTCAAACACTCCCATCCTTAAAGTCCCACACTCCCACTCCCAAATGCCCATCTCCTCAAAGAATTTCCATCCCTTGATAGCATTGGTACCTTTGGAGCTGCCATCCAAGACAGGAGACTGCCTCACTCCCAGGTTTCAAAAGTGCATGACTACCGCATCTCTCTAGGAGTCACTTCTGATAGCTCAGCAGAGCACTGGTTCCAAGGGACACATGCTGCCCCGTGAAGAATGGGACAGCCTCTAAATCCTAGAGTTTAAAGCATGGGAGGGGCCAGAGAAGCCTTCAAACAGCACCCTACAGGAGTAGAGGTCCAGCATGGTGATGTTCTGGGTGTTTTATCCCTGCCCATACCTTGCTGTAGCAGTTCTGGGAGTCTGAGCTGCTTTTGTCTGTTCCCAGGGCTGGGAGTTAAAGGGGAGGTCACTGTGTATGATGACCTTATGGAGGACTTCCTGATGGAGCCCAGGAGTGGGAAGGCTGGGTTACCCACTCCACCATGCTGTAACAACCGCCGCATTCTAAGGGCTGAGTCCATCCCAGAGAGTCTGAGCTGTTCCGCTTCTGCTACATCTTCATTATGGGCAAACCCAACTCTGCATGGAAAAAATCATAGGAAACTAAGATGGGCACAGTTGTACATTGCTGTGTAGGAATCTCTCTTGCAGAGGATGATAGGGTCCTTGGACGTGAATAGTATGCCAGATTACAAATGGGATTAGATGTTTAACTACAGTGAGTCTTGCTAACATAAACAATATTAAACTAATTGTGAGACTTGAGAGCAAGAAAGAATTGTCCGCATTCCCTGGGAAACAGGGATCTTGGAATTTCCCCCCCTCCCCCCCCCTTCCTCTAGACCACTGGCTAGGAATCATCAGTTAGGATATGATGAGAACATCCCAGACCTCTAAATTTCCTGCAACTGTGGCTGATTTTGATAGAACTTTTGTCATTCCTGCCATCTTGGTTTCATCTTATCGGGTATATGAAATCAGGAATTATTTAAGAACAGGATCTCAAAAGTCTGGCCAAGCTTCACCCATTCTTAGCATATTGTAGGATAAGGCTACTTTGAAAAGATGGCTGATTTCAAAGATTTTTCTTCTCTCTTTAAAAAACACAAACAAACCTCCTGCCATATTCTGAATCAGACAGTTTTATAGACTAAAAATCTGACAGAAAAAAAACTTGTGGCATGTGCACAAAAAATAAAGAGCACTAACTTCTTTGGGGGGGAGGGTAAGGGGGCGGAGGAAAGGATAGTTTCAGTTTGATTTCAATATTTGGAGGGGCAGTTCCATTCAGGCTAATGGGGCTCATTGGGGAAGGGCAAATTCTTGCAGTTTGGGGTGCAACACCAGCCCTGCCCCTCCCCAACTATACCCATAGATAGATTAAACCATTCTAGGGAAACATACCCAATGTTAAAGGTCAAATTTTGTACAAGGCAGTTTATGTGCAGGATTCCCAATCTTCTTAAGTGCAATTTATGCTATTGAAAATCAGCCTTTAGAATTATGGAATAAAGGCTATATTGAAAATGTGTCCTGATCCTGCAAACATTCATGCCAATGCTTAACTTTAAACACTCAAGTAGTCCCATTGACTTTGATTACTTGCATGAACAGAGTTCAGCATGTGCAAAAGTGTTTGTGGGATCTGGGTTCTGAGATGAAATCCTGTCCCCATTGAAGTCTCTGGGAGTTCTACCATAGAAGTCAATTGGACCAGGATTTCACCCTTAATTTGCAATTAACGGACATCATAGTCCTAGGAAGAGTGTTGTTGTTTTGGTAGCACTTCAATAATCTAGATATTACCTGGCCCTCAAGACATTGAAAAATATTTTTAGAAAATAATACAGAATTATTCTAACTCCTATTAATTTTCAGGAATAGAAGGACATGTGCAAAGTACAGACATTTGAGAGTGATATTATACTGCGAAGGCTGGCAAATAATGCTGGAATAGGACCAGTTTAAAATGACTGGGAGTAAACTGGCGCATGGTCTGAGAAGTAGCATGAGCAACAGTCAATGGTGATCTTCAGAAGTGATAGGGGAGAGGTTGTGTTTTTATTATATTATTTTAATAAACAATGCACACGGAAGGCCTGAGGTTGGCTAGGTTTTTTAAATTCCATTAGAGTTTTACTTTACCAAGGTCAGTGTGAAGTTTTGTTGTTGGTTTAAGTCTCTCAGATGTGATATTTTCAGTCCTGAAGTGAGGGAGTAGAAGGATGTTGTATTTTCCTCCTAGTTGTTTCTAAGTAAGAGAGCTGTTTTTATTACCACATATTTAACTTTGACAGACCCCAGTGTTTTACACAGTCAACTGAACTTGCCAACCTCTGTCAGGTATTTCTTGGTATTTGTGGTGATCGTAAACCTGGCTGTCACTATTTTGCAGGAAAAACATGGTAGACATATGAATTACCATGTGTCTTCCATTTTTTTTTTGAAAAATCCTTATCTTCTCCCCCAACTCAACCTCCCCAACCCTTTCAGCCTACTTTATAGATCACAAAGAAGCAAAAAAAGGCACAAAACCCATCCCCTTTCCTACTCACTTTAAAAAGAAAAGTAATGAAGAAAGTAGTAGTGAAAATAGCAAAAGGTTTATACATTAAGGCCCTAAACCTGCAAGCTGCTCCACACGGGTGGATCTCTGCACCTGTACAGATCAATTTGCAAGATCAGGGCCTAAAGGGTCACAAGCTCCAAGGAACTGTTCAAGAAAAGGAACTGTAGTTGATATTGGATAGAAACTGAGACCCTCAGTTCACTGTTCCATACAGATAGGAAAATTCACAGAACAATGGAATTTATAAATGGCAGGGAAAAAACACATAACAGAAGCAGCTGTAAAAATGTCTACTAAGCTCACACCTAGGGCATCATGCACAACTTTCAGTATTATTAGTGTTTGGGAGGAGAAATGAGGTAATCCAATGATTCTACAAGAGACATCAGTTTGAGAGTTAACTAGTTTATTCAAATAATCAAAGAAAAGTCTCCAGTTGATTGGTAAACTCAGGTTTTTACCTTTGCCCTCACAACCCAGTCTCTTCCAGCACCATGTTGTGGATTTGAAAAGCTGGACTTTTAAAATGGAGGCCATGTCATGTGCGTGGCTGGCCCTCATTTGAGTGTTTCACTCCAGTGTAGCAATATACATGTGTATAACAAAAAAACCCTAACTTTTTTTCTTACAGTACCTATTGCATACTAAATTCCATTGCAAAGTATTTAAAACTCCTAGAAACTTACTGTTTAATCTTTTCCTGCTAGAAATGTTAGGCTTGTTTTACTTTCAGATTTCACCCCTTCCTGGCACCTACTTATTGAATTCTCCTTTTAATGTGTTTTCTTTTGTCATGTGGGACCATTTCACTGGTATTTTCTAGCAGAGGAAGGGCTCGTCTGCTTTCATGATTGAGAGGGTTTAAATTCTTTTCATGGAATCAATATCACTTAACATAAAAAACTTTTCTAATTAGAAAGTGAAGAAATGGAGAGGAAACAAGAGGTTTGCCAGACTCTATGTAAAATAACAAGAGATGCATTTTTCCAGCAGGTAAGTCTCCACTATTTTTTTATTCCTATGCTGTTCTTATGTGGAGGATAGAAGGATCGTCTGATGTACACTGTTGACAATGGGAGCCACTATTACGGACCTTTTCCAGCAAACACTTTACCTGGTGTATATTCATTTGCAACAGTACATGTTGTGCCTGGTAGTTTGTAGGATCAGGTCCTATTAAGAATACAGTCCATTCTGATAATATTGGAGGGTACAAATTGAAGAAGTACAGAGAAAGCAACGTGGATAATAAGGGGCCCAGAGGTTAACTTCTAGGAAGTTAGAAAAATTAGATTTGTTAATTTAGTAAAATGGAGATTACAAGGTGAAATGAATGGGTAATATCCTGACTTCTGTGATCTCACCTGTGAAAAGTACAGGTTTTTTTCTCCCTACCACCAATAAAAATGTTCTTGCTTTGTCCAGAAAGTGAAAGGAGTATAAGACTACTTTCTCTTTGTAGAAAACAAATTGCTGCTTTGCATTACCTGATAATGTTACTTTGGTAACTTATTCTGTCTACTAATTAAATAATAAAGCTGTTCAAATTGTAGAGGAAAATAGCTAATGTACTCTTTATTTACATGTATGAATACAGAATCAAAAGCCAGGCAACAGGATGAATAAAAAATGAAAATGTAAATTGAAAACTCAACTTTGAATAGTTACTTCTCCTTAGTAAAAAAGAAACTACTAAGTAAAAAGGAACAAAACTTGCCCTGACTCAACTGTTTTAAAACACTAAGGAATAGTGAACTGCCAGGGGCTGAAACAATGTCCCAGATGATAGACAGTCCCTTTATTTACAATATATAGAGTCTGAATCACAGAGTCTCTGAAGGTCCTGCTCTTTGAAGATCTGTCACTTATGCTGGCTAAGGGTCAAAATCTCCTTTGTGAAACAATGTAGTACTGTGTGCACTAGTGTCTGGATACATGTCTTAGATAGCTATTCTCCTGATGACTTTCATGTTATTTCCACATGGGATACCCCACACTGACCTCCAGCCAAATGCAGATAGTATCTCAGGAACTGATGCAATTCCATCTTCTCATTCTGGTTTGCTAATTTCCTGGGGCTTAGTGGACTTTAATTTTTTCCTTCCTCCTGGCCAGCCCCTCATTGAGTCTGAATGGATCAAATGGAAAAAATGGTGTTCTTAATCAACTGTAGGGCTACCCACTTGAGACATGGGCCAATCTTGCCAGTGGCTTCCTCCAAATGCTAGAGTTCTCCTTGACCTACTTGCTAATAGTTAGCCATGGCCCTTGTTGGCTAGCAAGAGATAGAGGTTAGTACTTTCACAACTGCCTTCTCCATTCAGAACAGCAATCTACCCTTCTAAAAGGCAATTGTCCTTTAAAGCAAAAGAGCCTCTGAAGTTCCATTACCTTGACTGGGATTTTACTTGCAGACAGAGCTCCTTCATGAGCTGTATTTACCAGGCCACTTCCCTGGACTGCCTTCTGACTCTCAGATAATTCTAGGATGGGGGGGTGTCCAAGTACCTAGAGACTCATGGCAGCCTGAATACTAAGGTAGTGCTTTTCTGACCTTTCAATATTATGATTATTATCTGAATTACTGTGGCACCCAGGACCCCAGTGTGCTAGATGCTGTAGAAACACAACAGAAAGATAGTCCCTGACCCAAAGTACTGCCTGAAACTCAACTCTGCTCACTGGTTGCAAATTTCCTCCTCAAACAGCAACTTATCACTGGATCCGTGGTTGTCTTCTGGGTACCAATGTTATGTTCCTGACTAACAGCCCTCCCTGTTGACTCAAACCAGCAGAGGGATCCTTTTTGTGACTTCCTCAGCCAGAACCAGATCTCAAGGTTACTGAAGTCAATTGAAGGATTCCTATCCATTTTCATAAAAAGAAAAGGAGTACTTGTGGCACCTTAGAGACTAACAAATTTATTAGAGCATAAGCTTTTGTGAGCTACAATGAAGTGAGCTGTAGCTCACAAAAGCTTATGCTCTAATAAATTTGTTAGTCTCTAAGGTGTCACAAGTAATCCTTTTCTTTTTACGGATACAGACTAACACAGCTGCTACTCTGAAACCTATCCATTTTCAATGGGCTTTGGATCAGGTTGCCAAACTGTTGGTCATGCAGCTGGCTCAAACTACTACTTGCTGGCTTCAGGAGGCCTCTACAGTCACCCCACCATCTCTTTGAAACTGGTACTCCAACTTTGTTATGCAAATAACCCCCCCATCTAATGTAGAAGGAAAGGGGAGAATATTTAGAAAATAGCAGCTAAAGGCTCTTTCTCGTTTACTACAACCAAAAGAAAATTGCTGGTAGGAGGAAGGACTGAAAATCAGGATGGAGTTGGGCTCTAACAAGTTTAATAAGTTTGCCTCTGACCTATGTTACTGCTTTGTTTTTAGTTATGCTGACAATGTGCTTGGCACTTAAACACAAAAGAACGCATGGTCCTCCAAATTTTATGATAATATTAAACAACGGACTGAAATACACGATGGAAAATGACAGGATTTTAAAAAAAGTGTCTCTGTGTGGTATCTGGACCTTCCTGCTCTGAGTAACTTCTTCAGGCACAAGACTTATTTCTGCCTTTTCACCCTTTCGTCAAAGCTGTGTGATTTAAGATGACTTATTGAATTGAACCCCTACTGATTCTTCAACTTCATCTTAACTCCTAGCCTTCAAAAGTAAGAGACCCTGGATGTCAGCTTCCCTAGTGACAAAGAACACATGCCATCTTCAAATTTTTTTCTTTCTCATCTTACCTAGTTGTATTCTAGGATACTGCATGCCATGCACACACCTTCAATGAGGTATAACATAACATGGATGTCCCAAAACTTTGAATTGAGCAGGTATTTTTTTAAACAGAAAGTACTTTTAGACAGAAGAGTTGTATGGCTTCGTATTGGAAGTCATGTTAAGTGGTACTCTTCCATTTGAGTTCATACTGAGCTGATGTTCTAGCATGCTCACTGTGCTGCTGTAGGAGCTATAGATTTGATGAAGCTTAAATTACAAGGGGGCAGGACATTCCTTTGAAGTGACACTTCTGCAAAAGTGGAGGTATTTTAGTGTTCTGCCCATATTCCATCTTATGTAATTAAATTTGACCTTTCTAAACTTCCTCTTTAGTTCAACAATGTATATTCTTCACTTCCTGTCCTGAACTCTTGCTAAAAGAGCTGCTACGTTCACCCTAGAAATGCATGTATTTCCAAGGTATGGAATGAGATTACATAGATATAGGACTTTATTCAGCCCTCAGTTACATCTGCTTTCTCCTGTGTTGGTGTAACCCATTTGCAGAAAATCTACCCAGCCTATTGTAGGGGGCCTGCATTTGGCCATAAACAGCCCGAAAATAGAGGCACTAGCTTAACTGCTTATGGCCAAGTTGTCTGGAGTACATGCTGACTCACTGCATCTGCCGGGTAACCACTGCTGGCTTGATTCCTGTGGAATCCAGATTACAATTCATAGCTGCCCTCGGGAAGCTGGGGTGGAAACTCTACCTACCCTTCTCTGACAGTGAATCCCCCTCTTAGACCACAGCAGCCCCTTCAGTCCTGGGGGTGCAATTTGCACTCCCTATGTCTTCAATGAATCAGGCTCATAGCATGTAATGCATTTGACTCTTTAGGGGAAAGTCAGTCTATAAATTATGTTGCATATCTCATTGCCACTTCCTGGACTGTTCTGGCTATGTAAATTTGTTTAAGATATTAGAATTAGCTAGAGAACTTTTTCTTTTGTGATCCTGGTTTCCTTGTTTCTTTCTCTTTTTTTTTTTTTTTTTGCCTTGAAATTTGTCATCTCCTGATGTGACCATTATAGAAAATACTTAGAATTTTAATAATAGTTGTTTATTATCAATAGATTCTCCCCCGCCCACCCTTGCAATTTCTTTCCTTTCAGGCCTTTTTTAAAGACACTTCACACATTTCTTTGCAACTTTCCTTTCATTTCTCAACTAACCCTCCTTTTAACACTTATTTATCCTTTAATATTACCAGTCCTCCTTTTTACCTGATTTTTTTTTTTTGTATACCTCTGCAGTGTCCCAGTAGTTTTACTTTCTCTAATAGAAAAAGCTACTTCCACTCTTTAAATGGTCAGAAGAGAAGCTGAGGGAGCTCCACCCTAGGACTGAACATGATTGATAAGGGAATATTCCAATTAGAGTTTGGATAGTTGATGATAGTTTGGCATTTGGGCTCAAGTAAGGAGAGGATGTGAAGACTGATACTGTGAGAAAACAAAATAATTTGAAAGAACAAAGGGAAAAGAAGTCTCTTGTAAAAGAAGCAGGAAAATAAGCACTGTGGTAGTGGGGAAAGAAGAAGGTCTAGAAAAGTAGTTTTAAGTTAGGTAAAATAAAAAGTAGCTTACAAATAAGTTTGACTAGTACTAAATCAAGCATGAAAAACAGCATGAACAAATATACAATTTTCATAATGAGTAGGACAAGTAACTTGCCTAGAATCAATAGTCCCATCAGCAAAATGGCAGCAAAAAGCCTGCCATTAATAACACTTTTACCTGACCAGGATTTAGTTTGCAGACTTTTTTGTTTGTTTGTCAAAAAACTGGACCGAATACTGTTTCCTGTGGCAAGCCCCTAGCCAGCTCTGTGCTGATCTTTCATTTGTATAGCATCTCGTATAATGAGGGCTCAATCAGGATCGGAGTCTCTGAGAACTATGATATGCATGTTAAATTACAGTCTGTAGCCACTTTCTAACCAGTGTTATGAAGCCAGTTTTTATCTAATGGACTCCAATCCTTACTCTATTAGGTAAACATAGTAAATAATGTATACTGCATCACTCACTTGCTGTAATCCCAAAGGAAGTTGGACTTCTGGGTTAGGGAAGATACTAGGAATGTTAACTGGAAATAGACTATGAGGAATAATTTGGTTACCTAAAGAAAGCTGACATGGATTCTCAAGAGGGTGATCATTCCTATCTTCAAGTGCAAAAGAATTCCTTGACCAAGTGACACCGTTGATCAGCAGAAGATATAGTCGTCATTTATTTTGGATTTAAGCAAATATTTTGATGCGAACAACTAATTTACAGTGTGTTAACCAAATACTAAGTTTGGCCCCCTGATCCTGCAATTGGATCTACGGTATGTGGGTGGACCCTAACTTCAGAGGTTCACCTGCATGGATCTGATTGCAGGGCCAGGATCCTAAATATCAGAACTAGAATGAAACACACTTTGGGATGGAAAGATTAGACCATCAGCATTGGGATCATGAATGAAAGAGCATACAATAAACTGATAATACAAAACTGGAGGGAGGAACAGTCAATATAAAGGAAGAATTAAATGACTTGAGTAAACTAGCACCATATGCAGAAGGTGGGTAACAATTCAATATCAACAAATACAGTAAGTATAAGCTAAGGACAGGTAAAACAACACAAGAATATTCTAAACAGCAGAAATTATTCAAGTACTATGTAACAAGTCATAACTGGAACATTATATAAATTAGAGGTGACCTGTAAAGGGAGAAAAGTTGGACTTGTTCTCCTTTTTTTAAAATGCCTTATGATATATAGCAGTGGTTCTCAACCTTTCCAGACTACTGTACCCCTTTCAGGAGTCTGATTTGTCTTGCATACCCCCAAGTTTCATCTCACTTAAAAACTACTTGCTTACCAAATCAGACATAAAAATACAAAAGTGTCAAAGCACACTATTTTTGAAAAGTTGCTTACTTATTTTTAATTAGTAATTATAAAATTCATGAATTGGAATACAAATATTGTACATACATTTCATTGTATAGCATATTGTCAGTATGAAATTTTAGTTTGTACTGACTTTCCTAATGTTTTTTACGTAGTCTGTAGTAAAAATAGCAAAATATCTAGATGAGTTGATGTACCGCCTTGGAAGGCTTCCGAGTACCCCCAGGGGTACGTGTACCTCTGGTTGAGAATCACTGATATACAGAATACCTAAATAGGTCTGGCACTTTTCCTCCTTTGGCTTGTGTCTTAAATTAGAAATTCAGGTCCTGTCAAGGATATAAGAGTGTACACTGTCTACACTACAAAAAATATTTATAGTTTGAAAGAGGGCATCATGTGCTGACAAACTGTAGCTGAACACTGTCTATAAGTATAGACATACAAACTGCTCAACTCCAAGTCTCGTATGTCAGCATTAGTGTGAATTTTCCTCACAATTTCAACTCACATTTCCAGAATGTTGTGTTCATAAGCTATAAAAATTATAAACTCCAAATCATCTTAACCAGCTAACTATATATTAGATGTATTGTTTAGCTTCCCAATAACAGATTCCAGGATGAAATACCAACAGAAAAATCAAAAACAGAAATTCCAAAATGGAAAAGGTTTTTTCAGCACTTAAGAAAAATGAATTGTGAAAAATGGTTTTGGGAGTTTAACTGCTTATTGGTAAAACACTTAGGATAAAACTACAGAAGGAATTCTCAGCATGATAACTAAGTGAGGACAGTTAAGACTGGAAATATTTCTGGAAATGTTCATTGACAGGGAAGGTGGAGATGGGAAAAGATCAGGCTATTTTCTGATTTAAGTTTATCTCATAGGTTTCCTGTGTTCTGAGTAGAAACTACTATAGAGGTTAAGCCTCCCAGTAGGAAAGATGGCTAAGATCTGCAAGGAAATGAGGTTGGGGCCCATTTAAAAGAAAGATATAGGGTATGTCTACACTGCTGCAGCCCAAACGTCTACACTGCGATTTTTCTAGCCCTACAGCCTGAGCCAGTTGACACTGGCCAGCTGTGGGTGTTTTGCTGCAGCGCACATATACTCCATGTCTCAAGATTCTGACCAGGTTTCTGGTCTTGCTATTAGCCTCAATTTTTCAGGGATTCTCAGTATGACCTTTAGAAACTAAATGCAGAGATTCTAGGTCACTGCTGTGTACACAGCAGTGTAAGTCTCTGTGGTTTACATTATGTCAAAGCCTAGAACCCAAGAACAGTTTTGGGCCTCCTGGTGTATACCACTGTTTTGTTAGCCTTCTAGGCAGTGTGTTCCCTCTAGGAAGAATTTATATGTGGTGGGGAGATGATGCATTGAGGTGTCCACCTTCCATATCAAATACCTATGACTCCTGATGTGTAATCAAGAGCTAAGCATTAACAACAACACATATGCCGGCATATCCTTATACATTCCCTGAGTTTATGATCTTAAGATTTCTAAAAAGAATAAGCCTGTTATGTTGCATTGCAGTTGACATATCAGGAATGGTACATGAACAGCCTCAGGAGTTCCTCTTAGGTAAGCAATGTTGACAAAGGATTTAGGCAGAACAAGCAGAACATAACCCAGTGCTTCTATATGCACTTGCTTTAGTGACCTCAAAGAGAACACTAAACATTTAACATTTTATCATGCTCAATGTACAACTTTCCATACAAATATTAAATCTTATTCAGAAGACGTTGTTTTGAATGAGTTGTATTTAACAGAAGCAACAGATCAGCAAGCCTCAAGTACTGCAGATGGACCCTTCTGGACTTAGATCTGAGGTGTCAACCAGAGGTGGATTTGTCAAAAGATGCACAATTTGCAGTAGCAAACTCAGGATGTAAGGTATGCCTAGTGTGACTAACTCTGCTGTGAAATCTGTCTTGGCTTTGAGGTAAAATATGAAATGCAGTTGCTTTAGAGATTCAGTAATTATTTGGGATCATATCTTTAGGCTTTTAAGGGAAGCCTGAGCAAGTGAAGCATTTATAACACACCATCATGGAGTTCGAATGCTACAACAAAGAGGAACTGTACAGACAGGGCTTGTCTGCTTAGGCCCAGCCATTTTAAAACGTGTATTACTGCCACGTTAGGAATCTGTACCCTATTAAATGAATCCACTCCCGTGGAAACAAAGCCCCTGCTGCATTTCAACCGCACTAACTTCTTCGTGGGTTTTTTGTAAGGCGCCGCCTCATGGGAGCTGCTGTCACAAGCTGTGAGTGACAACGAGAACGAGGGAGATTTCAAACCCTGCTGCGGGAGAGCGGAAACGTCTCCCACGAAAAGCTCCCCCGCCCCAGCCCCGCGGGGAAGGCAGCCGGCTGGAACCTGGGCCTGTCAACTCCCCGCACCGAGCGCGCAGCCTTAGGGGAGGCAGCAGCAGCTGGAGTCGCCTGCCCGGAGCGCGGGCTCCAAGGGTGTGAGGCCGTCAGGAGCCCCCAGCCCCGAGGGAGCACGGGCCAGGCTCGGGGAGCGCTGCCCGCAGGCTAACCCAGAAATATCCCCTGAGCGGCGCTGGGCGCTCCCGGGGGCCAGAGCAGGCTGAGGGCCCAGCCGCCGAAAGCTCTCCGAGGAGCCCGCTCATTGTTTCTCACACAAACCCAGGCAAACAGGAAGCCACCTCGGCATGCCCCCCGCCCCGAACGGAAGAGCGACAGGCAGGGCGGCCAGTGAGAGCGGCGGTGCTGGCGCAGCGCAGCCAATGGGAGCCTGCGAGAGCGGGAAGGCGGGAGTTCCGGACTGACGGGCGGGCGGTGGTGGTGTCGGCCGGGCCCCCTCTCCCGCTGCAAGCCCCACCTTTCGGCTTTCCCGCACCGTCAATCAAAATAAGAAAAAAAACCCGGAGTGGGCTCGGGCCGCCGCCGCCGCTTCAGCCCGTGAGCACAATAAGCATGTCCCCGGCGGCAGCCGCCTAGCCCCAGCCGGCGGGGCCTGTGTGCGAGCCAGCCAGCCTGCCTCCCGCCCAGCCAGCCGCTCGCACTCACACCATGACCGGTACGTACGCACAGAGCGAGCCGCCAGCGGGGCTCCCTGCCGCTCCTGGTCCGGCCCTGCGCTCCCCTCCGGCCCTGGCGCGTCTGCGTGTGAGCGAGGCGAGAGCGACACTGAGAGCAGCAGGAGGAGCAGGGGGAGGAGGGAGAAGAGGGGCAGGGGCAGCAGCGCGGGGAGGAGGAGGAGGAGGAGGAGGAGGGCTCCGTGCGGGAGGGCGGGGGGAGCGCTGGGGTTAGGGGGGAAGGGAGGGGGTGATCTCTCCCGTCAGTGACTCTCCCCTCCCCCTCCCCGCTCGCCCGCAGCTCCCGAGAAGCCCGTGAAACAAGAGGAAATGGCTGCCTTAGACGTGGACAGCAGCAGCCACAGCGACTATCTCCAGCACGGCAACGGCGCTGCCTCGGCCTCCGCCGGGGCGGCCACCCCCCAGGTAAGCGCAGGCCCGGCCGGGCCCCCTCCCTTCCCCCCGGGTGACACGTTGGGAGCGAGCGCGGGAGCCGGTGCCGCCGCTTCCTGTGTGCGAGTGTGAGGACGGGAGCCCGAGCCGCTGCCCCGCACTAACCGCCACCCACTTTCTCTCTTTGAACCCGCCCACTGTGGGTAGGACACTCAGCCGTCACCGCTCGCTCTGTTGGCGGCCACCTGCAGCAAGATCGGCCCGCCGTCGCCGGAGGAGGATGAGGCCGCCGCCGCCGCTCACTCTGCCGGAGCGGTAAGTGCCCGCCCCGCCGCGCTCGCACGGCCTGCCGGGGGGAGAGAGCGCGCAGCCAGCCCGCCCGCCTGGGGGGAGGGACGGGACACACGGCACTGCCCGCCCGGGGGAGGGACGATGGCAGGGCCGACCTGCCAAGCGAGGGGTCCCCAGGCTCCCCTGCCTCTCCCGGAGGAGCTGGGCGCCCTGGGGGAGGCGGGAGGGTAACTACCCCGCCTCGTCTCTGAAAGTGGCGCGTTCTCCTATTTTAAACGGGGGGAGGCGGGAAATCCAACCCCCCCCCAAGAGACCAGCACAATTCCGCCCTCTCCTCCCCACAAAACAGAGAGGAATCTCCCCTACACCTGATCATAGCCAACCCCTTCTCGAGCTGTCAGCCTGGAACCTTTCACTGAACAATACCACAAAATGAAGGCTGGCTGAAAGGGAGGATGCAGTTTCAGACTAAAATGGCTGTGTAGAAATGATCAGAGCACTGGAAACTAGCTGCCTATAGGAACACTTCTCCTAGGTGCAGTTATGCACTCAGTTATAGACCAAGTTTGTACCCATATCTCTCTGGTGCTGCTTGTTCTGAAAAGAGTCTTGATGAGCTGGATGAGATTGTAGATTAGAAAGGTTTCAGAGGAACAGCCGTGTTAGTCTGTATTCGCAAAAAGAAAAGGAGTACTTGTGGCACCTTAGAGACTAACCAATTTATTTGAGCATGAGCTTTCCTGAGCTCATCATCTGATGAAGTGAGCAGTAGCTCACGAAAGCTCATGCTCAAATAAATTGGTTAGTCTCTAAGGTGCCACAAGTACTCCTTTTCTTTTTTAGATTAGAAAGGCATCCCTATAACACCTTCTGCTGTTTATCTAAATAGCAAGATGCTGGTGGAGACTTTATAGTTTTTTATTTTTATTTTTTAATTGGTCGAAGCAAATTAGTGATTGTGTTTTTGATTATTAAGTTTTTTGATTTTTTTATGTATAGTAAGAAATATCTGCTTCAGAAGTTGTACATTCTAAATTGACATATGACATCTATTATCATAGGTAAGGAGAGTTACTCAGGACTGGCATTGATGTAAAATAAATAATAGTGTGTTTAAGTACATCTTTCCAGTCATTAGGGAATAATACACACTACATGGGTAAATGGGTTTGCTAGGTTTTTAAAAAGACTTGGTAACAATACAATAATGCTATCAAGATTTTATTAAATTATCTAAACGTTAAAGAGTTAATTTTTAATAGTTTGGTGTTGTCATGTATATATTTCAAAAGCCAGTAAACATTATTTCCACTTTACACAAGGAGAAACTGAGTCACAGCGGTTCCCAAGGTCACACAGTAAGTCAGTGGCTGAAGTAGGAGTAGATCAAAATTCTCCTAGTCCTTTGGCCTGTTCACTACTGTGTGCTTGTCTCCATTTTAATAACCTCTTTTAACTATAAATTAGTTTGCAGCACAATATATAATACAGGACTTGGTTTTTAAAGGTTTTTAGATTGCTAAGTATCCTTAAAAATCTGATTGGTAGTTCCAAATGTACACAGTGCTTTGCAACAGAACTGCCATGAAGATACATATTGGAAATATGATGGTGCTAATGCAGCTCTTCTCCATGTGTATACTTTAGCAAGTCTGTCACTACTTTACCTCTTTGGAGAGGGGACTTTTTGGGAGGTGGGGTGGTATTTGTACAGTGCTTAGCACAAACAGACCTGATTCCTCATTGGGACCTTAGGTGTGATATCACAGTGTAGATAATACTGATAACCTTTAATTATCAAGATATAATTATCAATATTATTCATTTTTTAAGTCTTTAGCTCTTTCCCTTTTTATGTGCATTTTTTAATTTTTGTTTTTCTAATAGATAGCTTTCCTGGGCAAGATCCACCAATTTAGGAGGGACTAAAGCTTTGATTTAAACAAAAAATGTACACGCTTGCAGTATTTTCCAAGTTTGCAGACAGACCATCCCATCATTTGATACCAAAGTTTTCAATTTAGGAGAGATGGGGAAAGGAGCTGAGTTAAATTTCTACTTCCTTTTGGATGACCAAATAGTAGCAGAGGCCATAGTTGTTGCTTTTTCTTAATATGCATCTGGCCAGGAGGTTGTGATCGTTACATAAGTTTTGCTACTGGCATTTATGCTGCCTTCACCTCTAGATTGGACTCTGCAATGGGTTCTGTATGAGGCTACACCATAAATCCATTCAAAAGTTGAATCAAATGTCGAATGAGGCAGCTCACTTGTTAAGTGGAGTATTTCACCATGGGAATATGACACCAGTGCTTTGTGAACTACCTGTTGGTTTCTGGATTGGTTTATGTTTGGTTTTTGACACAGAAAGTCCTGAGCAGTATGTGACTTGGTTACCTGAGAATCTTTCTCCCCATGCCATACGGCTACAACTTTGGTTAGCTGAGACACTTGAGTTGGAACCCCTTCCATGTGAAAGCTGCCTGTAAGGTCTGTGCGGGCCTCTCTTTTTTGGAGTTAAAGGCATATCTATCTGTGGAAAACAGGCCAAATTTTTCGGCCTTCCTGGCACGGTGTAAAGGCTGTCTTCCCTTTTTTGGGAATTTTAGGTGTGGGAAACTTTGATGTAGTTCCTGACATCACTTTACACACTTCTTTAACTTTAGGCTTCTGAGTAGTCCAAGTGAAGTCACTGTACTGTGTGGTGCTTGAAGTTGAGCATGTGCTTGAGTGTTGGCAGGGGTATTGACTTGGTTTAACAATAGTTTTTTGTTAATCTAGAGTTTTATATTTTAATGGTCTGTTTTTGTTCTAAAATGGTTTTGATATTTTTTATTTGATGGCAAGAGTGCATAGAGCCCTGGATAGGTTCTTTAGTTTTGCTAGTTGGGATTTACATAAACATCTGTAGTGAGATCAGGGCAGTCGTTCTCAGATCTTTGTACTGGTGACCCCTTTCACACAGCAAGTCTCTGATTGTGACCCCCCCCTTATAAATTAAAAACACTTTTTTATATTTAACACTGTTACAAATGATGGTGGTGAAGTGGAGTTTGGGGTGGAGGCTGACAGCTTGCGACCCCATATGTAATAACCTCGTGACCCCCAGTTTGAGATTAAGGGATTAAGGGGTAGGGAAGGTGAGAAGAAAGGAGAAACAAAGTTGTGGAGGAGAGGGAAGGAAAAGAAGAAACTGACACTTGGACTCGAAAAGAGATACAATAAATCCTTGTCTCAACTAGAAGAGTTGCACGTGTAACAAAATCGGTTTTTAATCTAGCTAGTTAAACCAATGCAAACCCCTCATGTAGACACACTTTAACTATTAACCTTCAGGCAAGGGTTAAACTGGCTTAAGTGTGTCTACATTAGGAGTTTGCACTGGTTTAACTACCGTATATACTCGTTCATTAGCCAATTCGTTTATAAGATAACCCCCCAAGATGGATAGGTAAAAATAGTAAAAACTGTGTGACCCTTTCATAAACCGACCCTATATTTCAGGGGTTGGCAAACTTTGGCTCCCAGCCCATCAGGACCTTTTGTTTACCTGGAGTGTCTGCAGGCACGGAGCCCCTTAGCTCCCAGTGGCTGTGGTTTGCCGTTACCAGCCAATGGGAGCTGCGGGAAGTGGCATGCCACTTCCTGCAGCTCCCATTGGCTGGTAACGGCAAACCACAGCCACTGGGAGCTAAGGGGCTCCGTGCCTACAGATGCTCCAGGTAAACAAAGCCGACAATGTATTAGATATTCAATTAAATGATTTCATAGAGTTTAAAATCATCAAATTTTGGTGTAGACCCATTCATAAGCCCACCCCCGCGCTTTGGTGCGTCACCTTTTTACCAAAAATATTCGGCTTATGAACGAGTATATATGGTAGATAAGTCAATTTTAAGTCTGGTTGCACTGGTGCAACTCTTGTTATCGTGAACATAAGAAAGGGCATACTGGGTCAGACCAATGGTCTATCTAGCCCAGTATCCTGTCTTCCTGACAGTGACCAATGTCAGGTGCTTCAGAGGGAGTGAACAGAACAGGCAATCGTCAAGTGATCCATCCCCTGTCATCCTTCCAGCTTTTGGCAAACAGAAGCTAGGGACACATCCCTGCCCAGCCTGGCTAGTAGCCATTTATGGACCTATCCTTCATGAACATACCTACTTCTGTTTTGAACCCTGTTGTAGTTTTGGCCTTCACAACATCCCCGGCAAAGAGTCTCACAGGTTGACTGTGTGTTAGATCAGGGGTCTCAACCTTTTTCTTTCTGAGCCCCGCCAACATGCTATAAAAACTCAACGGCCCAGCTGTGCCACAACTGTTTTTCTGCATATAAAAGCCAGGGCTGGCGTTAGGGCAGGGACGGACAAACTTTTTGGCCTGAGGGCCACATCGGGTTTCCAAAATTGTTTGGAGGGCAGTTAGGGGAGGCTGTGTCTCTCCAAACAGCCAGGCGTGGCCCAGACCTCACCTCCTATCTGACACCCCCGCTCCTCACCCCCCACTCCCCTGTTCCCTGATGGCCCCATCCACTAACCCCTGTCCCTTGACCACACCCGGACCTCCCACCCCTAATTGCCCCCTGCCGCCCTATCCAACCTCCCCTCTCATTCCTGACTTGCC